ACTTATCCTTAAGAACATTATTGTGTGATAGATACTTCTGTTGCTTTGTACTAACGATGCTATATTGGAAGTGCTTGTTTACATACCTGACTTTTAAGATTTTTGAGGGTAGGGCCCTTGCCTTATTCGTCTTAATTATAGGTATTACATTCATGTTTGTAATGAGCTCAATAAATGGTAAATTGTGGAATCATCAGATTTATGTAGTTGCTGTTAACCAAATTTTGGTATCCAGGAATATGGGTAATCAGATGGAATTGGGGGGAGGCTAAAGATTTGGGGAGGGAAGATAATATTTTAGAGCTAAAAGCAGGGAAACAAAAGCTAGCTTTTACCTATGTTTACTAAAATCATTGACTTAACTTCATAGGGCCTCCATCTCCTTTTCTATAAAATAAGCAAGGTGGCCCGGGTTAGTAGTTTGCAGGTATTTTTTGAGAACTGGGTTCCTCATAGATGTCTTATCAGTGGCACATTTTTTGCTGAAGAGGTGGGAGAGAAAGAGTAGATCTCAAGTTTTGCAATCTGTCCCAAGCTATAATATTTCATGATTCTATAATCAGTGTAATATAGGACACAGTTTTTTATGCACCCACCCAAGAGCTTAGACTTCCTTTTTTTTTTTTAGTCCTCACCTGAGGACATGCTGACTGATTTAAGAGGGGGAGAGAAACATCCATGTGATCTGTTGCCTGACATGTGTGCCCCCGCTGTGACTGAAGCCAAAAGTTGTGCGATGATGCTCTAACCAACTGAGCCACCAGCAAGAGCTAGACTTCCTTTGGTCCAGGTCTCAGATCCCACATTGTGACATCGTATCCTCTGAAAATATTACGGCCTACCCCTTGCAATAATTCAGACTTAATTTTCATTATGTGCAATACCCCAGATTTGCTAAGTTACCAAATTGGGTGACTTGGGGCAAACAAATCTTTGTTTGTTTAGTTATTGGAGTTGTTTAGTTATTAGGAGTTGTTTATGGACTCTGTAAAACCTCATCATTTTATCACCCTTTAACAATATAAAATAAATATTAACAGTATTTCACAAGGCATTAACACTGTCCACATTTAGTGCTTCTCTAATACTTGTGTTAGTCTACAAACTTTTTTAAGGGGGGAGCTGGTGTCTATAAAACTACAAATTGAGTTTAATAAGTTATTTTTCTTGTTAGTCATATTTTACCTGTATTTGTCTACAAACAAGTGCCATTACTAATTTTCCTTTGAAGCCTCATTCTGTCTAATCTTTATCTTCATGCCCCTCTTACAAAAAAAAAAACATGAGCCAGCCTTTTAGCAGATCCAAAGGAACAAACTCTGTAGTCAAGACTGCAGAGAAACTTCTGTGCACACGATCAAAATTAAACAAAAGCTCTGAGATTGGACCTTTTCCTTAATTTAGTATAAATAAGCATGCTTTCTGTCAGGGTCTGGAGATGCGTCGATCGGTGCCATTGGAAGGACTCTTTCCTCAGACCTTTGCTGCAGGCAGAGTCCGGTCTCCTGGAGGAGGCTGCTAGTGGAAGCGATGCCCAAGGTGACTGACTCTCAGGGTGTGCAGACAGGTTTTTACAACCCGCTGGGCTCCTGGGCTCGTTATAACTTGATACGTTGTTTTAACCTCAAACTATTTGGCTATCCACAAAGGCTTTTAAATAGTATAAGTCCTATCCCTAACACACACATTCTTGTCCTTAAGTATGGGCAGCTTATTCTCTGTGACACCATTGATCTTAATAATGATATTTTTAAAAGAAGATAAATTTTCTATACTTACTTTGCACAATTTATTCTAAATAAAGAATTTAATATTGTCCATGTTATAGTTTGCCCTATTTAAAGTTAACTAGAATTGATTGTGTTTCAGCCCATCAAATAATTCCAGTTTCTTGGAGAGTAGTTATTTAGAGTTAGAAGTTTACATATGGCTTTTATATACATGTAAAGGATCAGTTGAAGTTGTAAAAGTATACAGTTCTGTAATTTTCTCCGTACAACTTGAGAAATTCTAGTGAAATGGAAATCTCTACTCTCTGCTCTGTAAGTAAAAATGATGTTAAACCTCTAATGTTTATCTGACTGGCAGCTGATTTTGAAGTTTGACCTTTGGGATAGATTTTTTTCTCATCTTAGTTGTGCTGTGTTGTACCATAACTCATACATTTTAAGGATTTTTTAAAAGCTATTAGATAAAATTTTTTGTTAGGTGATACAAATAGTACAAATTAATAAGCATCTTTCTATATCTGCTTTAGTTAACTATGCCAGGTAAAGGAAATTATTTCTATCAAAGCTAATCTCCAAGAAACCCCTGGCAGTTACATAGATTAGTTCATCTTTTATTTCAGCATATAAAGTAAGACGTACAGATGGCCTGTCAGTCATGCCCGACCAGGACAGCGGTGCAGAACGAGCACCACTGAGTTACAAGTGTCAAGCGTGAGGGCCAGTTTCTAACATCAAGCAATGTCAGATTCCACTTTATGACAGTAGTTACGCTTTTAGTGTGCATTGATGTGGAAATTTGATAGACCGCTGTGATTCAATAACACCTTAAAGTAACTTTGTATTTTATTAATCTAGATGCCACTTGCGGACATTTAAATCAACACATTATTCTACTTTCTGCTCAATAGGCGAATGCACATATTTACTAATTTTATTAACATTTGTGAACTGACATCTTTGGTCATTGACAAATTCAAGTAGCAGCTAAGTAAAACGGAGGCATTTGAAGGAAGAATTACAGTTATGCAGCAGAATACAAAAAGCTTTTATTTTGTACTTGTTTTAGTAACTGCTCATTGAACTTGATTTCACCCTTACTATATATATAGATTTTTCAAAGAAAAGATTTAAATAAACCCTTGGTTATTTTGTGCATTTAAAAGCATTTAGCTGTTTCTATTTTGTTGTTGATGTTTCCTTATATAGAGTGAGGTTGTTGATGGTGATTTTACATCAAAAGATAGGTTTACTTGAGGGGTGAGTATCTATACTGTTATCATGAGAGAGAGTTGAAATTGTGTGTTTTGTCTTAATTGCTGGGATTCCCTACCACTGAGGACAAAAGAGAATCTGAAAAAGACCTTAATCAAAGATTAGAAACTTTAATGAAATTCATACTCTATCCACTTTGAGGGTTTACCATCCCTTAGTTCAAATTGGGAAGTGATCTTTCAGAATGATGTGTTATTCATGAGTTTTGCCATCACAGGCTTTCAATACTCTGATCATCATAATAATACAAAATATGATACAAGGAACAGAACTATTTGCCAGTGGCTTTAGTTGTTCGCTTAAGTTGCCCGAGCAATAAATCATTTGGTGCACTTATGCTTACCTTACCGCTAGACTAGGGTACGTCTCATGTTCAGGGACCCCAGTGGTCTCTAGATACTGGGCAGGTGGTTTCCAGCTGTCACCAAAAGTTAGAATGCCTGGTGCCAAGTGATGTGATTGTTGTTCCACTGATAAGAATGCTCTCCTCTTGTACTGCAAGGGAGAAAAACAGCAACACTGCAGAGTTGGCTCCATTAGAAATTAGAGTCTATGAACCAAAAAAGTCAGAAAAGAAGACTTACAGTGAGTTAATAGAAGTAGAGGAGCTTTGTTTTGTTTTATAAGACAGCTTCTGCCATAGTGGTAACAGCTCTTCCAGAGGACATTGTTTGTCCTGCAGTATTATGTGCCTTTCGAATGGAGATCGTTAGAAGAAACAGAGATGGTTTGTTGCCTAAGAACTTGCCTGTAAATTATGGCTTCTCTTTTTGACTGATGCAGTGTTAACATTTTAGAGTGGAAATATGACCTGACATTTGATGAAGTGTGTAATGAGAATTTTGACATTCACAAAAGGTTAAGAAGAGGAGCAGTATTCTGATATGAACTGTGTCAAATCATTGGCTGCAGATCAGTTGTGTTGTGGTTCTTTTTTTTTTTTAAGATTTTATTTATTTATTTTCAGAGACGGGAAGGCAGGGAGAAAAATATCAGTGTGTGGTGGCCTCTCACACACCCTCCACTGGCGACCTGGCTGGCAACCCAGGCAGGGGTCCTGATTAGGAAGGGAACCAGCCACCCTTTGGTTCACAGGCCCGCACTCAGTCCACTGAGCCACACCAGCCAGGGCTGTGTTGTGGTTCTAATGGCAGCTTCCTTACATAACCTGTTAATGTTCACTGGTAGCTTGTGGAGCATTCTGCCCTGGGGAAGAGCGATCTGTAATATATTCTGTATGGGTTAAACTCTAGAAAAGATGATGTCTGGGGTGTTCTCTTCTGTGTTCAAAGGAGATTTCAAAATACCACTTAACGGAATAATTAAATTGCTTGTGAGAGAAGTGACTGTCAGTGCATGAGGACAAAAGGAAGAGATTTTTGTTGCACCAAGAGCTGAAGCAGGAGCTGCTCAAACGAGTTGTAAAATCCAGATTGGAAAAACCCATTACAGATTAAGTAATTGTGTATTTACTTGTAAACCAATGGAAGTGATGAAAAACTGGTTGCGAGTATGTATTTTATTAGTTATGGGAAACATTTCAGATTTATGTTTTAAATTGGATTTTTAAATGAAAGGGGGAAAAAACTCTTGGTGTACATGGGTGGGAAAACTTCCAGGTGTAAAAACAACTTAAGAAAAAGCTAATTTGATCAAGGGCAACCAGGTGTGTGTCAAACATTTTTTAGAAACTTATATTTTAAGTTATAATGTCTTGTCAACTAGTGTTTGAATTTCTCCTCAACTCAGTAGAAGGGATGAAGTAAGTTCTTGTGTTTTTCCCGCTGGGTGAAGAATGTCGTAACAGCTTGTATCGTCCAAGGCAGGAGGTCTTAACATCATCAAGTTCTCTTTTTTCCTTTATTTTAATAATCTAGTAATAAGTACTCAGGGAATGATTTTCATAAGAGAGCTAATTAATAATCATTATTGAAAGCATGTAACTAATATGTAGCAGTGATAAATGTTAATGGTTTGCTTTTTTTGTTGTTTTACTAGAACACAAAGTGATTATAGTGGGACTGGATAATGCAGGGAAAACCACCATTCTTTATCAATTGTAAGTATAGGTGTTTATTCAAATTGTTTTCATTATTTTAGTTATTAGAACTAATTTTGTATAAGTAATAAGAATAAGGTATTATTATAATATAATGGAAAAAGTTGAACATACGGTTTTATGTTTTACTAAACACAAAATTTATGTGAAAGTGAGTAAGGTAAGCTGCTCTACATTTGTTAAAGCCTTCACAAACTCTTCTTCTGATATCGAAAGACAGAATTAATACTAAAGTAGAATAAATAAAGCGCATATTTATAGTGCCAGAGTGAGGTGAGTAACTAAGTGCATTTCACTTAGTTATTATCATACTGGGGTTCATGTAAATAGATTGTGATCTCTAAGAAGCCGTTGCTGCTCCAAATAGATCTGAAATTTTTTTTTAACTTTTTTTTTTAATTTATTTTTATTTTTTAAAGATTTTATTTATTTATCTTTAGAGGGGAAGGGAAGGAGAGAGGGAGAGAAATATCAATGTATGGTTGCCTTTCGTGCGTCCCCTGCTGGGAACTGGCCTGCAGGGAACCGGCCTGCAACCCTGGTATGTGCCCTGACTGGGAATTGAACCGCGATTGTCTGGTTCGCAGGCCCACGCTCAATCCACTGAGCTACACCAGCCAGGGCTGAAATTGTTTTTAAATAGCCAGACTTGTGCCCTGGCTGGCGTAGCTCAGTGGGTGGGCCTTCTAACCAAAGGAATCATGGTTCAATTCCCAGTCAGAGCACATGCCTGGGTTGCAGGCCAGTTCCCAGTGGGGGACACATGAGAGGCAACCATCCACTGATATTTCTCTTCCTCTCTCCTTCCCTTCCCCTCTAAAGATAAATGAATTAAAAAATCTCTAAAAAACAAAAATAAATAAATAGCCAGACTTGTCAAATCAAAAGAAATGAAGATCTCCCCTGAAAATATTGCTTTAGTAGCTTGCAACAGGTAAAAGCTTTAGGCTTTCAAAGAAATACATTTATTCTTTAAGGAAAGTTTAACAGTCTATCAGTCTACTTGTCAAAGTACATCCCATTATCCTTTTACTGCCAAGGAAATGATCCTTGTTAAGCAACAAAAACGGATTTACATCCCAAGCATTTTAACAAGTAGTTATAAAAAATACAGTTCATGTTACGTGGTTCTTAGTCTTCCCACCTCATCGTAAGTGTATGAGTTGATGGCTCTCCAGAAATTCTTCCCTTAAGCAGTGCTTAACATATCTTTCAGCTACTTTGCTGAAAGCTACTAAGTATGTCTGTTGTTTCACTGCTGAGTAGCTACTTGTTTTTCTTTCAAACAATCATTGGCCATTATATTTTAATATGACTTTGTCTTTAAACATCAAATAAAAGCATTTCCGAAATCTTGTCACTGTTATTGAAATAATTTTGTACATGGCTTAAAATATATATATATATATATATATATATATGTATGTATATATATGTATATATATGTATATATATACATTCATGTATATATATATATAAAACACCCAAAAGAGGTTTGCAAACTTCTTTCAACACACTACTGGCATGTTATAGTCAAATACATATTTGTTGCATAAATTAATGTAGTTAACAAGTGATTATGATGGTATGTGTGATATGAGCATCAATGTACTAAATATGTTTAGAATTAATTTTAATTAAAATTTTCATTTGCTCCATAGTGTTATCTTTTTAAGACTGTAGTTCAGGTTAATAGGCCTGCACTGATTTTTATGGCTGAGCCAAGTCTCAATTTTCTCACATAGACAGTCTTCAAAATTCTAGATGGCCTACAGTTCAGTTCCATGGTTGCTGCTTCGTAAGCATGAGTGTCACCATTGCCTGGAAACTTGGTCTTCGGGATGGAGCACTGGTTCTGCTGTAACTGATAACAAGGCCTGGGTGGTATTTTGGACACAGAAATGCAAAGTCACACTATCCCATTCCCTTCTATCCAGATCAAGTCTGTAGTTCATCCCATCAAAAGAACAAAAAAACAGTTTGGCTTCAGGAGTTGTTCTTTGTCTAGATATTTGTTCGCACAAATGTTCTAAAAGGTTCTGTTTTTGATGTTTATGATTACCAACATTGGTACAAATAAGGAAGATTGATTCCTATGAAATACAGAGATTAAAACTTGCTTCAGGTTCTCAAGATTCACAAAAGGGTTTTTATGGTCTTTTTCAACAGCTTAATGAATGAAGTGGTTCACACATCTCCAACCATAGGAAGCAATGTGGAAGAAATAGTTGTCAAGAACACTCATTTTCTCATGTGGGATATTGGTGGGCAAGAGTCGCTGCGGTCCTCCTGGAACACGTACTACTCAAACACAGAGGTGTGCTGAAGCTGCTGTTCAAGTAAATTTTAACCAAAAGAGAACCAGACTAAACCCAGGAAATGATTAAGACATGTTGACAGTTGCTTTTTGATAAGTTATTTTTTCTTTTGGTGAGGAATCTGAGGTTTTCAAATAAAAGACAAGCAAGTAGAGAGAGTGGTGAGAGCTATCACTAGATGAGTGCTGACCGCCAGGCAGGTCTCAGTTAATTCTCTCCATCGTACCGCGGTGTCTCCACTGGTGGGGAAATTGGACATGAGGGTAAAGTTTATACTATCTTTCCCAAGTTCCCACAAGAAGAAAAATAAAATACCTGAAGCATAATTTGTCACATGATTTTTGAATAACATGAACATTTAAAAATTTTGTGAGATTATATTTTAATTGTAAAAAGTGGATTTGCAGGTCAGTCCCCAGACTTCTGAGTCACTTACAAGTTCAGAGCCAACCCCGGGAACAGACTAGAGTATGTTGATTTCTGTTGGTATTCTTAGAGGCAGACTAAACAAATTAACAAACTGTAATGCTGTTGAGAGAGGCTTATCTTTCCGAATTTTAATAAACAGTTGCATCCATAATTTTTCTTTACAAAGAAGTATACCAAACCAATATTTTTTTCTAAAATGAAGCCTCTTAAATTGAGTGGGGTTTTTTTTTGGGGGGGCACATGTAGTGATGTTACCTTTTTAAATAAAAACATGTATTCCTCTAGATTTATATTGTAATAACATGTATATGTGTGTATATAGTCTAGTGCAGTGAGTAACTAATCAAACCAATTGGCATATCATAAATACTCAGCAGTTTTGATAGCAATTAATTTTTTTTATTTGCTAGGGAGGATAGGTTGGTAAGCAAAGTAACATGTTAGCTTAATTAATATATATTTGTGTGTATGTGTGTGTGTGTGTGTGTGTGTATATATATACACATATATACAGTAAAATAAAATTCCAAAACTAAAATATGTTAGAAAGTAAGGAAGAACATTTTAGCATTATGACTGTTTAAACAGTATAGTTGTTGGTACTTATTCAAAGCTCACAATTAATTGCAGGTGTGAAAAGAGAAGGTATCTTTGATAAACAAATCAAAATTGATTCTTGCTGATTCATGTACATTTATTTATAGCATTAGAAAAGGGTAGTTGTTGAAATTGCTGAAAATTGACTTAGCATGGGTCTAGAAAGACATACATTATTATTAATGCTATTTGCATGAAATGCTCTTTCAATAAACTATCTCTACAAGATCTTTAGCCTTTATTGTAGCACACCAGTATAGCACATAGTGTTTGCAATCTTAGATTCCACATAGGGATCTTATTATCTGCGTAGTGTTCCCATGATGTCTTTGTTCACCTTCGTCATCTTGCTTCGTAAATTCTTTACATTGAGGAATCATCCGAATGCTGAATATCTCCATTATAATACAAGGAGTTATAAAAGTGACTAATTTCTGACATCTTACTCTCATTAACGTAAAGTTATTTCCATTCTAACTTTTCCATGTTTCTTATATTTATCTCTTCTATTTTCTTTTCCTTGATTCCTTTCTAAGCTCTCTCAGTGTATATTAGATTACCTAGTTCTCTCTTTCCCCAGGTAACAGTCATCTGAATAATCTGATTCTACCCTTTCTGTCTTGTTTTTTTTTGCATCACTTTCTGTACTATAATCCTTAATGTCATTTAATCTCATTTCTTAATTGTTTCTTCTGCATAAGATGTTCACTTAGGAGCCCTTTATCGTTATATCTTCTTATTTTTTTATTGAAGACACTCTTGTTTTTAATGCGTGAACCCACATTTTTTCATATACACAGCTCCCAACAGCTGTGTCCAGTGTTCTTTGCTCTCTTTAAATTCACTTGCTTCTTCCTCTTTAGCATATTAACACCTAAGTATATATGTTTTTTAGCACATTTGTTGCACTTTTATTGTTGATACTGTTATTTTTAAAATGCTTTTTTATTCATTCGTTAATTTTAAAATGTTTCGCTTTTTCTTTCAAATTAGCTTTTGTACGTCTTTCCAGTGGATAGGAGACTGGGTTACATATAATTATTGATTGCCTAAATGGACGATTACAGATTACTTTTAATGGTTTAGCAAAGGTTATTTTATTTGCTGTGATTTTTTAAAAATTTTGATTACTTTAAAAAATAAATCTTAGTATTGTAGAATATTATATATTCAAACATTTCTTTTTAAAAATAAAATTGGGCCTGGTTTGTATTTGTTGATGTGATTCCATATAACATAAACTCTTTGTGATGAAAAAGCAGTACACTGCTTTCTAGTGATGATGGTGCCATGTGAAGAAAGTACTGTATCACTTGAAAGTAGTTTTGCCTAAAACCTCAACATCCCATTCAGTTTTCTTTCTTTTTAATTGTCTTCTAGTTCATCATTCTCGTTGTTGATAGCATTGACAGGGAACGACTAGCTATTACGAAAGAAGAATTATACAGAATGTTGGCTCATGAGGTAAATTTTGAAAACAAACATAAACAATGGAGTAAGGTATCTGTACGCTGGTTTTGCTTTTTTACAAATATGAATGTGCTCTGCTGTTGGTTATTTCATCAGGAACCAAGTTTTACATATTAAATTAATAAAAGTCTTAAACTCAGAAATTTTCATTACTTCTTCAAAGTTAAAAAGAATCCAGTATATTAATTTGTAGGCTACTGCTATAAAAGATTTTTTCATAGTTAAAACTACTGATTGGTGCCTTTAAAATTCTGTCTGATCAAAGCAAGAAAGACTTAAGTGTTTAAAATCCTAAGAGTTTATAATTGAAAATTCTTTAGTGAATAATTTGAGATCACTTAATTCTAAATATTCCAAATATACAAAAAAATTCTATAATAAAACACATTTATGTACCCACTGCTCAACATAAGATGGTAAATATCTTGTGATTTCTTCTATTTGATTTCCTCTCTTAAGGAATTCATAAAGAATTCATAAAGAATTCCACTGTCCTAAAATAGTGATTATTAGTCCTGTGAACATCTGTATGTTCAGAATATTATGTGCCATGTTTATAAAACTTTATGTCATGATTACATGTTTTTCTGTAACTTGGTTTGGGGGGCACAACGTTGTAATTTGTCCATGTCAGTATATACCCCCTGTTCATGAGTTTTAACAACCACCTAGTCACTGCGTGACTGTTGTTTTAGTAATGAACACTGAGGTTATTTCTAATGTCTTGATAGTATACACAATGCTGCAGTGAATTTGAAGGCTTGAGCTTAAGTTATACAAAGACTAATAAGTATTGCCCAGCCCTCAGCCTTGGTGCTCCCCTTTACATTTCGGAGAAACCATATATATATAGTAGCCTGCAACAAATTTGCCCATTAGAATATTGCTCATAATAGTTTTCAGTCAATACTTAAGATTCAGCTTTATTTTGCTGACCCCTTTGGTCTATCATTAGAAAAATAACTTGTGTTCTTCTGTTTTTTTTATTGAATTATTAAATCGTGGTTATTTGAGGTAATTTATTTTGGATTTCATAAAATTTTTAGATTAAACCTTTGTGCCTAATCATTTTAAAGTGTGGGGATTTCATTATCACTGTCCAGTAGAATAATAAATACATTTTACCCTTCTGCTTCATTAATTTTATTTAAACTGTATGACATTTCTGGCGTTAGAAATATTTCATATTGATTGCAGGATTTACAGAAGGCTGCGGTCCTCATCTTCGCGAATAAACAGGATATGAAAGGGTGTATGACAGCCGCTGAAATCTCCAAATACCTCACCCTCAGTTCCATTAAGGACCATCCGTGGCACATTCAGTCCTGCTGTGCCCTCACAGGAGAAGGGTGAGTGTTCATCAGAACGAAGGGGGAGTGCGATGTCTCTCAAATTTCTTTTCAGTTTTTTAAAGCCAACTTATTTTTTAATTTGATCCTGCTTTTTTGCTTCTTAATTAAAGAAGGTTTTTATATTGTATCTCAGGGTTACAAGATTGAAATAATTTTAGTCAATTACTGTTGTTCAATTGAAATTTAACAAAGTTATAAGTTTTTGGAACTTTTAGTATAAATAGAATGTTTTACCAAAAATAGGTAATAAAGTTTTGAATTAACTTTACAATCCACACTTTTAGTTGTTGTTCATTTCTTGATTTATCATTTATTAACTAGGAGAAAACTGTGATGTCACTTGAATTAAAGAGGAAGCTTCAAAGGCATATCACATTTTCTGCAAGGTTTAATTAAGCCTAAGAGTATGTCTCCTTTTTTATCAAGAGTCCTTTGGGAATGCATATTTTTAGACGGCAAACATTTGAAACAAATACCATTGTTACAGTATATTCTGCCTTTCCTAAGAACTTGAGTTTGGGTAAATGGTCCGAGGAGAACCAGTGTGTTGTGCATGGATTAGCCAATTTCTTTCCAGGACTTACTTATGCTCAAATTAACTTGGTCTTCTTAGTTTTTCTTATACTAGAATTAGCTTACAATATAATGGCTACATGTAGACTTTTTTGACCTAAATTTTAAAGATTGTGTCATAACGTTTACTCTTTAGAATTTGGGAGGGTGAGGTGAAGTCCTGTTGTCTGTCCATAGCAACCACACTGAGGGACAAGGGAGGGGTATTTGCAGTCTTGCTGGCAAAATGCCGAAGCTACTCCCCAAGATGAGACTGAAGCAGTTTCCCATGTTATTCATCTGAATAAGGTTGTTTTGTTTCCAGGAATCCTCCATTCACATTTTCTACTTCTTTTAGTGTTAACCTGAAAATTTTCACTTGTGTGTAAATAATTATTGCAGTACCAATCTTTGGGTAATACTAAAATAGTACTCTTTCAATTTTTAACTATGTAGTTCTTCATTTTGGAAATATTTCTCTCTTTTGTTTCAGGTTGTGCCAAGGTCTAGAGTGGATGACCTCCAGAATTGGTGTGAGATAACTTTTTTGCTCGGAAGAGACTGCTGTATTTATTCTGTGACATGAACATTTTTTCCTAGTACCTTTGGCTGCTAAGGCAGCAGCATGTTTAATTTATAACAACACAAACCTCTGTGAGCAACACTTGAATCAAGTGCAGCTGAACTGGAACATAAAAGACTTTTTCGTAACTTTTTTTTTAATGCACTAATCTTCGGTTGGATCAACACTAATGTATAACTATGTTTTCAGCAACAGAATTTTTCTGACTGCTTATTCTAATTAATCAATGACTGCCTTGTAAGAAATGTTTGTCATATGTTTAATGTTTTCTGAAGTATTGTAATAACTTTAATGACCAAGTTCTTTCATTTCTTTACTACCCCTCCCCCACCAGATAATTAGTGGTTTGACAAAGCAGTAGTGGAAATCATTGGGTACTCCTTGCAAACTTAACCAGCACTAAATATTTGCTCTCTCTATAAACCACTTATCTTTTGGACACAGCTTATTATAGAGAAAGAAATCTGCCTAGAAAATATATGTAACAAAGATTAAACATCATAAGAGCTGCTTTCAAATGAGTTAGCTTCCCCTACATTATTGCAAATCATGGTATAATTTTAAGTTTCTATTAGCATGGAAATTAAATTGACTATTTGTCCAAAGGAATTAAGTCCACATTTCTGCCTATAACATGGGATTATTTTTGGTGAAAAGCTAATCAAGGTAAAATATTTATTTGAAAGCCCTACTTCGATGATAAATATTTTGAATAAATCTGGTATTTTAAGAATGGCACATTATTCAGTGCATAAGTAAATACTGCAAGTTATTAAAGCATACCAGCACTAATATTAAAACCAGACAGTTGGAATATATTTTGCTATCAATTACAAAAAAAAACTTTATTATCAGCCTAAAGTTCACCTGTCCACTTGCAAGGGACATCTCATCTGCTTTGGGCAATAGCTAAAGCACAGTATAAAGAGTTTAGTTTATTTCTTAAAATTTGAAATGGTGTCTGTAATAGTGTTATTACCACCAGCAGTACGTTACTTTAAAGAACCGGATGGCTCTCCTTAAGTCTGTTCGAGGCTGCAGTATAATAAGCTTGAAACAATTGCCATCTTTATTGTTATGCCTCGTGTTTTGAAATTTTTTGCTGGAGTATAGGAAACTGCTGTATTTAATTCTGGCTTTTAGGATAATACTGTGAAATACAAAGTTATGCTAACAACTTAAAAATAGGAAAAAAGTCATAATCTAGCAAAAGTTTGTTGGCTAGTATTAAAACATTTTCAAGGCAGTTATCAACTATGAACAATAATCTTAAGCAGTGCACTCCTTGAGAAGGAGGACAGGTATTTAATTTTAATCCTTTTTATCTTAAATGTATGATTTTGCTATAATAAAAGGGATAAAATACATACGTAGGGAATAATACTTCATCTTTGCAGTATTTTTTTCCCCATTTGGGTCAAAAATAGGATTCAGTGTTCTTTAGAATATCAAAATACCTATTCAAAAGTGGTATTTTAATTCTAATTTTTTTTATTGTTAAGTTGGTTTAAGTTCTGGTCTCTTTTCAGGTACATTTGATTTATTCTACTTAGTCTAATTAATTTAGTTGAATATGGCAACAATTTTTCTGATTTCTGTTCCTAGAAATGAAAAATGGCCATATGAGAGCTTTTGGACTTTGAGAACTAGTTGTTTATTAACCTTGTTTTGAACCTTTTTCTTAGTGATCCTACCAAGTACAGGATAAATTTTGTTTTTAATATAATTCATAATCAAGAACCTGAGAGAAAACAGACAAATCAATATGGATGCCTTTGTGGTGCGTATGTCACAGTGAGAATAAGAATTACGAAAATACTATTTACCCAGAGCCCACCTAGCCAGAATTTTTCTCTCGGTTCTGTAGTTTAGCTATAAATACTGAGAATAGTTCTCCTAACTCTGTCCTGAGGAAAAATATATTAATATTCCTGTATATGCTTTTACTTTGAAATTTATCTTATATCTAATAAGATTGGCTGGCTCAATTTTCTCTTACCAGATCATATGGTTATTTTCTATATTACCACATCAGCATTATATTAAAGTGAACAACTAGCATAGAATCAAGTTTGCTATTTAATTTTTAAAATATAGTTTATTTTATTTTTAAATCCTTTTTGAAAAACACTTTGTTTTGGATTAGAAATAATTTATGTTAGCTGTGTGTTGACAGTGAAATTGGCATTCAACCAGATTTTGTGCCAACAATTGGGAAGTTCAATTAAGAAATTCATGTAGGATTTTTTAAAGTATTTTATAGGTTCTCAGTAGATATTTCCTGTTACAGTAATATGAAAACTGATTACCCTTTACTCCAAGAGAATGGTTTGACCCAAGCATGTATTTAATGCTAAAGCTTTGATTCTCACATTCATTATAACTCAACCACCTGTAAGACATTGTCTAACGAAAGTGTAATTTGTGATTAGTGCCTTTATTCATATTTTGATATGAGTTCTCAATTTTGTACTATACTTGTTCTGCAGAAGTCAAATTAACAACTAATTATCAGTGGTATAATTTAAGTTTTACCCTCCCCATCAACCCTTCAGTTGCCTAGCAAAGTTTATAGTTAATGGAAAGCAAGGGACCTACCCACATTCGTTTAGGGAGATTATTCTACGTTTTGTTTTTAATTTGAATATAAAGAAACTAAAATTTATCTTTTAAACATGTTACAACTAAAATGTAATTGCCATATGTGTGTGTGTAAGTTCAAATTGGGCACTTTTCTTAATTTTGAAAATGCTGTGTTCATTTTTAAACCCACTTCTTATAAAAGCCCACTTGAGAACTCTTTTAGAATTAACAGATTCTTTTATATGGGGATATACTGCACATTTTGTATAGTATAATTTAATTTTTTTAATCTAAAATAATATATATCTATATTCTATTGAAAAATTGATTTAAATACATAACTTTTGCTTTTAGGTCCTATGTTAGTATGCTTAAAGGTATGATTTTAATCTATTTTCATTGGAAGAAAGATAATAAATTTGGGTTTTATTGTTAAAATAATTTTACACGTATACCACCTCTATATCCATAGTCATCTTAATTAAACATAAGTTAATTTTCATTATCTTTAACATAAAGAGAAAAATATATATTTTTTTCCTATGGAAACAGTGAATGATATAGGCAGCAGTGTAAACAATATTCTCCGAAATGCTATGGGGAATCACAGGGCAAAAAATTTCAAAGAAAATAAAATTATTTAAAAATTTTTGGTGCAGTATCTTAGGATAAATTCGAAATGAAATTGTTTCTGACTACCGCTCCTGTAATTCTCAACTATGTAAAACCACATCAGTGGAAAAAACATACTGTTATGCCTGTAGATGGATATATCCATGGACATTTATGTTTGAAGACCAGTGTCATGAGTCTTAACTTTTCATCTATGACTTTGAATCCAAAATATTTCACATCCATTTCAGTTCTAAAAGATCATCTATATTTTGTCAGAGTAAGATCATTTCAAGGTACAGCATGATAAAGAAAAGGGAAAAAGGAAAGAAAAGAAAAACAAAAAGATATAGCATGGTGACTTGTATCTGGTAGAGTATTTTTCTGGCTATCTAAAGAAGTGGATTTCCACCTCTTTATCATTTCATTTAGTACATGAATACAATCAAATAAGAAAACAAACTATCAACTAGTAATGGCTACTCAACTTAAATTGAGCTAATAGCTAATGGCTATGCAAAAATAAGCCATACTAAGAGCATGATGGCAAGTTGCTGATAAAACACCAGCATCTGTTGGAAATACTCTTTTCTAGAGAATACCTCACTTATTTTCCTGGCTTTCACTAACTAGAAGGGGTTAGTTTGTTCAGAGTTTATTGACTATGGTGTCTCAAACTGCAGTTCTGTTTGACTTTCCAGTATTTCTGAAAGCATAGTGTAGCCAGAAGGTCAATATTTTACAAACATCTGTATAAAGCTGAGAGTGGCTTGTATTCAAAGTTAACAGGATTGTTTTCTTTTTCCTCAGTAATGTCTTCTCCTTATTCATTTACCATCACTGTGAAGACTGAAATCCAAAAGTCAGGTTCCCAAGAAGTATTTTCTAAGAGTTCCAGGTGGCCAAAGCTAAATAGAGAAGGCCAATAAAAAAAAGATATTTTCAAGTATTTTATATTTAAGGTAGAAAAATTATTGTGGTCAGCAGGCCTAAAATCAGCTTTAAATGTATGTAGTTTGGTAAAATGTTTTGGAAATGTTAATTTAGAGAAGTTTAGAGGCATACCTACAATCAAAAGTCCAAACACTTGATAGTAAAGATGAACATGGATAGAAAAATCTTCGAAAGTACATTAAATAATAGGAAATTGGAATGACAACAGTAAATTTCCTCCTTTTAGGTCCTTAAAATCAGGCACTAGAAAGTGCAGTCTTTTGCTGTAGAACTTAGGATGTGACCAAAGGATTGAAGACCCATCAGGTTTTAAGAATTTGAGAGTGTAGTCACATAGAGGCATCTTGCATTTTTTAAAATGACTACTCTGCATTTTCTCTCAGAAGTGGAGAAATAATGTACCATGTATCTTTAGAGAACAAAGCTCTAGAAGAAATGCTCTCTTGCACAAACTAGTACAATTTTAATTTAAAAATTACCTCATTTTTCAATCCATAAGGTGCTTTGCTCAAGTTTGTGGGATGTGATACCATCCTATAAATACCCCTTCACCCAAACTATTTGAAATATGCAAAATTCACAGCTAAGGGAAGAGTATTCCTTGGAGATTTTGTTTCGGTTTATTCTCGTTGATCACCAGCAGCGCTAGCCTGGTGCAGCAGGTCTGAATATTGTCTTCATTACGGCAAGTGCTCAGGCAACATTTAATTAGTTTGGTTAATGTCAAATAAGGGAAAGGAAAACCCTGAAATCTGACCGATAATATTATACTGTGAACATATTTCTATCTGTGTTGGTAAGAGGTCAAATGACTTATCAGTTGATCTTCATTATGAATAATTTATTTGCATATTTCCCTATTCATACAACACTTTAATCATATCTTCTAACATTATTCCTCAGGACATTCAAGGACTCTACAAACTGTTTTGTTCTCTTGGAGTAAACTGTTCAGTGTAGCTATGAAATATTTAACTTTGGTTTTTTAAAAAAATGTAGCCACTATTTCATTAAGGGTGTGAAATAAAATGGTTATATTTTTCCAACTATTTAATAGTTAAACAAATTCTACCCTTTTCATCTATTGCACAGAACATGGTTTAAAAAGAAAAAAATTAAAGCAACCTTGCTCTTTCATTTATCCTAATCAGAATATAATGAATATAATCATGTTGCCATCTTAAAATGAATTGGTGCTTTAGAGCATTAAAGAGGAAACAGCAGGCCCTGTATGATATACGTCTTCAGAATCTAAAACTACTTTAAAATGTCTGTATTTATATTTGTGTTTATTTTTTAAGGTTTACATATAAATTGTTGTTATTCTTCAAGCTTCAAGCTTTCTGCAAAAGCTATAATAACATTTTAGCTAATCAGGTGGGTCCGTAAAAGATGGTATAATAAGACCAAATGTATGAATGGGATCTCTGTCAGTACCCTGGTTGAAAAGAGGGGGCAAAACATGTCTTTCACACCATAGACTATATGCTTCTTAACCTCAACTGAGCAACTGAAATGTGTGCTATTGGTCAATTACATAAGGATTATTTTTTGTGAAAGAAACAAATTACTTAATGCAATTGACATCACTTGAAAATGGTTCAAAGCATGTTCTTCTAATTGTAGGTTGTTTAAAAGACATGTTTTCAGTGTTTAATAACTTCATTCTTGTCATAAAATGCTTCTTTTGTATGTTAAGTTTAGCTTGCTGCTACCCATGATCTTTTATTTCTGCAATTACGCTATAATGAATTGGTTGCATGTCTGCAAACCCAAGTAAAAGGATGCTGTTTGCTCTGGAGTGTTCATCTTTTAGACAAGTTTTGGCTCATTTGCAATCATGGTGCAATACAGTGTAACAGTCATTTGTTTTCAGTCAACAGTTTTATTTTTGTCATAATAAAAATTACTTTTCCAATATAATGTGAACCCAGTGTTTTCTTTTAAAGATACATTTGGTTTTAACAGTCTTTTTCCTTGGAAGTGATAGAAACCCATCTCCTCTAACACGGAGAGCGGAATTTAATTAGAACGGTGAAGTGGTGGTGCTTACAGAACCCAGGGGCAGCACACAGCTGGGTTTCTGGGACCGAATGGGACCAGAGGGCCAGGAGCACGGAGGAGAAACCCATCTCCCCTTTCTCAGTCTTTGACTGGAATGGATTTTTCTGTTTCCTTGTCCACAGGGCAGATAATGTCATAATCTATTAGCTCCTGCAGTTTTGTCTTTGTACAAGGGAGAAGTCGAGTTCCTAGTTACATTTCTCCATATTACCCAGGGAAATTGCTTATTTGTCTGCATTGGGTCAGTTATTTTCTGTGACCCAAACAGATGTACCAGCAGAAGGTACGTTTACCAGAGAATGAGGATCCCTGGGTATTAGGAAGGCAGTCCAAGTGGGTATGTGTAGTATAATGGGAAATACTGAGTCTGTACCCTGGTCACCAGAAAGGTCAAATTATTACAGGGGTGGAACTTTCAGCCCCATCTACCAACCTCTGAAGGGGTAGGTGTGTGGAAGGGGTGCTGTTGGTTAAGTTTTACGAAAACTTGAACAAGGTTTGATAAGCTTCCAGGGAGGTGAACACATCCATATGCCAATAGGGTAGTGCACCCAGTTCCATGGGGACCCTTCCAGACCTCATCCCATGTACCTCTTTATCCGATTCTGTATCCTTTTATAGTAATTCTTTATAATACATTGGTAACTGAGTTTTTCTCCGAGTTCTGTGAACCACTCTAGCAAGGTAACCAAACCCGAGAAGGGGATGGTTGAAACTTTATGGTTTGTAGGGGGTCAGACACATGGGTGAAGATCTGGACTTTTGATTGGTATCTCAAGTGGGGGAGAAGTTTTGTGGGCTGTTTTTAACTGGTGGGATCTGATACTGTCTGTCTCTAAGTAGACAGTGGCAGAATTGAATTAAGTTGGACACCCAGCCAGGGCTGGTCAAGAATAAGATGGTGAACTTTGAATAAGAATAAGATGATGACTTTGAAAAATTACATGTGTATGAATTTACTAGTTTTGTGTAGATTAAGTTTAGGAATCTTGACCTCAGTTTGAATTCTGCTACATTATAGGACTTCAGCAGCTGAACATTATAGTTTTCTTCTGATACACGCCCAGACTCAGTAAGGTTTCCTCCTGCCTTTTTTTTTTTTTTAACAGTTTTAGGTAGATCTGCATGTTTAAAATTGTTACAATTCAAGTGAGTAAATTTGGAGGTCTCTACACTCGTTTCTCACTGATCTTTTAGTTCCAGAAGAGCATCACACTTCCTCCTGTCTCAGGGCCTTTGCAAGTGATGTCCACTTTGCCAGGAATGCTCTTTGTTTCTGCCTTTCTTAGATAACACCTACTTATCCTTTGGATCACTGTTTAAAAATTATTTCTGTAGAGCAGCTGAACCTGATCTCCTAGACTAGACCAAGCCTTACTCCCATCAAACTCTTTCTTATTTTCCAGGAGTTTTATAATTTCATTGCTCTAATTAATGTTTCGTCCTCAGGAGATGGATAGCTCTGTATAGCAGAGACTGTGTTTTTTTCATGTGGCAATTTTTCCCTTAGTGCTCACAATGGTCAGCCCACAGTAGGCATGCATTAAAAACTTGTTAAATGATTGGATAAAGTGGGAAAAAATGGACTTCGTAGTAGGCAATGCTAGTTATAGTGAAAGCCCCACCAATAACTGATCTGTAATCTTGAACAGAGTACGGAATCTCTATTGCCCTCAGTTTCTTTACTGAAGATGAGGACTTCAAAGTTGGTTATTTTTATTGTCCCATTTTGTTATGAAGTTCTTTGATTATATGGATGACCGTCTGCTTCCTGGTTTTCTAAAGTATATAATAAACTGGGGGGGGGGGGGGAAGTGGAGATAACTGTCCTCAAACAACAGTAAAAAGATAAAAAGGAAAAAAATAAAAACATTCTTAAAAACGTAAAAAAAAGTATATATTACACTAATATAGTCTGAAAGGCAAATACTTTATAAAGTAGGCTCTCTATATCCACAGGTTTTGCATTCTTGGATTCAACCAACTGTGGGTCAAAAATATTGAAAAACAAAATCCCAGAAAGTTTTCCAAAGCAAAATTTGAATTTGCCACATGCTGAGCATTATGGTGAATAAAACTGATTTGTAGGAATAACCTGCTGTAGAGCTAAATATACTCTAGAATGGAAATTAAGAAGAGAGGTGAGAAAGATTACAGGAAGGTGGGAGAAAGCAGGGCATGGATTAGGTTGTAGGACAGTTAACAAGATTATGGCTTTCTGGGGGCCAGTTCTGTTTTATTCTAAAAGTGTGTTACCCTAGATGTGTAGGAACAATGGATGGGGTTTAGTTAAGGCAGAGATAAACCTTTTGCTGAAGAAGTTATACAACGGGTGTGTGACCACCATATTTTGGCATGTGTAATGTGCACCCACGTTTTTGTGTGCATTATACACAGGATTATTATACCCATGGTATGGAATCGTTATACCCATGTATACTGTACATCCTTATTTTTCCTTAAAAAACTTGGGTAAAAAAATTGCACATTATATACAGCAAAATACATATAATATACCCAGTTAGGAATTTATGATCAGATCACCTTGTGAGGTTACCTTTCATAGAACATTTTTTGGTCCACATTATGCACTAAGGAAAGCTGAGAGTCACTAAACCCAAGTCACAAAATAAGTCGACGGATTTGTTTCTCCTCCTCCTTTTCTTCTTTTTCTTCCTCCTCCTTTTTGTTTTCTCCTCCTCTTCCTTTTTTGTTTTTTGTCATTGTTGTTTGGTTTTGGGTCATCTGATATTTAAACAAATAACTCCAGAGGAATTGAAATGTAGGCATAATAACATCAGAAGAGAAACACGGATGAATGCTGGGAGATCTTATATCTTAAAACAGGAGGAATTGTTGAAGAATTTGGGGGTGTGCCATGTGGGGAGAGCCAAACTAGAATAACATCAGAAATATTTGAAAAGTTGACAGACAGTTTGGGGAGGGCAAATCTAGGTGCTCAAAATAACTATGGTTACCCCATGGCAGGCACAACAAAGGTGGCAGCAGTGTCCCACCATGGCCAGGCCAGTGTTCTTAGGAGGAATAGCCATGGTGGGAGGAGCACGGGAGCCCCAAAACAGGGAGCTGCTTAAGTGTTCATAATACTATGAAAAAATACCACCCAGTGGGCTAGCCAATGTGGACATGCCGTTTATTACTCACATTACAAGTCAGTGCACCATTGGTAGCGGGATGGAGAGAGAGACAGTGCACCTCCTCCAGTCTGGGGCTTGTTATAAGGGGTCCCAGACAAAGGAGGCACATGTCCTACATGTGACTAAACCACATAACCTCAGTGTGTATATGCAAAAAGAAAAAAATCAAAAAGTCACAGGACAAGAAGCAGCTAGCTCCCAAAAGGAGAAAAGGAGGGAGTTACAATCCATCCCCAAAACAATACACATGCCCTCTGGCCAGTACTGGCTGTCTGACCAGCTCTCAGCAGGGGAGGCGGAAAGGCCATGTCCATCCACCCCACAGGGGCTCTGCATTTGCAAGTGGCCAAGGCCTCGGAGGCCAGACGGGGCCAAGCAAATCTGGTGAGGTATAAAATCTCAATTTGGTACATAGCTAATCCACAGTTTTTAAAGAACTGCTTTTTTATAAAAAAAAAAATTCACTTAACATAATATTCTTTTTCTTGTGTTTCTTTTGTATTGTTGTTCAATTATAGTTGTCCCCACTTTTATTTATTTCTTTCAAATAGGAACTTCTGTATAATTTTTTGTTCTTTCACATGTAAGCTTTTTGAAGAAAAAACTAAATCATGTTAACCTTTACAACATCAAAAAGGTGACAAAATGAAAACATAATTCAGTGTTCTTTTAACATAACACGGTTGTTGTGAAAGATCCCAGCTCACTGACATCTCACAGGCTGCCTTCTTTTTCAGTGTGCACAAATGAATACTGAGATTAAACAATTTTTGTGACCTATAGCAAGTTCAGATTGTAATTAGTACAAGATTCAGTGGACCTACTACTTTCCAACTAGTTAATGAAACAGACTTTTTGGAAGAAAAGAGGCCGCGTATTAACTTGACAAACTCAGGTGAGCCCTGCATGGCAGCCTTTCAAACTCAGAGACCTGAAATAGCCACATAGGATAGTCTGAAATTAAACCTTTCTAACTAAAAGCAGTTCATGGAGGGTAGGCACCTCGTAGGCCTGTATCTTTCCCAAAGGCCAATGTTTACCTTAACTGAGCCTGTCTATTTTCCTTATGCACCTAAGACAACATACCTTTGGAATGTCAAGATAATTCCCTTTTATCCAGACCCCTCAAGGTGCAATCTCCCACCAGAGCAGAGCCCTCCCCTCTCCTGCATTAGTATCTCATTCTCCCCTCCCACCTCCCTGTTCTGTGAACGCCATTGTTAGCTGTGGTGCACCCACCAGTGCAAGAGAAGTGCGTGTCTCTCCATTTTGCTTTTCATCCAATCCCAGAGATTTCCCCACTTTGCTCTCTTCACCTCCCTAATCTGTCACCAGTGGATTTCATGTAATCCCCTTATGTCTCCTCCTTTGATTGTAGTGCATAAAATAAGGTGCTAAATTGCCATTTTCTGGAGCATTTTCTCAACTCTTTGACGTTTTGCTTCCCTGCAATTGTCGGTTTGACTCAAATAAACTCAAAAATAAAAACTTCTCCACAGGTTTGAATGTTTCTTATGTTGACACCCTTTTTCCTAATTTTAGTGGGAAATAATTGATGGACATCCCTTTAAAAGTTTAAGGCATACATCACGATAGTTTGTGCAATGTAAGAAATGTCCAAATTTGTAAGAATTTTTAAAAATATATTTTGTTGATTATGCCATTACAGTTGTTCTATTCTCCCTTTAT